CAACAGCAAGAGACCCCAAGAACAACTAACATTCCCAGTTTAGTGTATGGGTAAGAATCGCCGTGTCCAATGGGGCTCCCCACTCCCCGACCATAAGTGGTTATGGTTTTCTAACAGTCCAGGTACTCCTGCTGTGGATGGACATGTTGTGAAGCAGGACTGTGAGCTTTTTAAAGAACTGGCCAGCTTTGGCATTTGCTTACTCTAGGCCATTGAACTTCTTAAATTTAAAATGTTTTCAGAATAATCAACTTTTACACCACTAGTGTAAAAGCTGCTATGAGCAGGAGAACTAGAGCCAGCTCAGTTGTCATCCTCACAGCTCCCGGTGTGTCTTCTCTTTGAATACTTTCCCCAGTGTGGAACTCACCACCATAACACAGTCTCTCCAAGTTTCTCTAAGGTCTTCCACCTTAGAAGTGAGCTGAAACTTATTTCCTTGCAATTTTCCTTCACTGATCCCCTTTCCATTCTGGATGATTTTCACCTATTCCAAAGGATGCTGCTCTCAAATATCTGAAAATAGACATTACCTCTCCCTTGTCTCCTCAGAGAAAATATCTCTAGGGCTCTAATCATTTCAAGTTGTGTCCTCTCCTCCTTTGCTACCATTTTCTGGGTACATGGTGGTTGACTGATCAGCATCCCCTCAAAGGCAAGGTTGAGATTGAGGTGTGTGTCAGCGCACCCGCCCAGCTCCGCATGGAAATGAGCCTTCCCACACCCTCAAAGGCATGCACAGTGTGGACTCACAGAACTCATGGCTGACTCTTGAAAGCCAAGAATCAAAGTGACCCTCGGGTGTCAGCTTGGGAGCGCTGAGGTCTATACATGTGTACCTGGGAGGACAGAGGATGAGAGAAGAGAAGCTTAAGGAGCGGGAAGCCAAGAATCCAGCAGCAGAAGAGCTAAACCTCAGAGCCATTCTCTCAACTGTCAAGAAAGAGTTCCCCGCCCTGTACTCTGGTCCAGGGTGCACAAGATGAACTGCATTCAAATCACTTTGCAAAGCCAGCATATCAAAACCTGATCACCACAGCACAGATAAGGAAGACAGAGGGCACACTACCAAGTTCACACAGTTTGGCTCATAAATGTCCCCCAGAGACCCATGTGTTAAAGGTTTGATCCTCTGCTTGGTGCTTTAGGAGGCAGTGGAATGTTTAAAGTGGAGTCTGGTGGGAGGTCTTTAGGTCACTGGGGGGAAGTGCTCACAGGGCATAGTAAGAGATCCTTACTTTTACTGTCACCTAGGCATGAGACGAGCAATTTTGCTCCATGTACATTTATGCCATGATGTGCTGTCTTGCCACAAACCACAAGTAACGGCCAACTGACAATGGACTGAAACCTCCAACACTGTGAGCCAGGCTAAACTTTTCTGTTTTACAAATTAGTTACCTCAACATTTATTATAGTGAAGGAAGACTGGCTAACACACGAGGACACACAAAAAGGTCATAAAGATGATCAGAGCCAACCAAGCCAGCCCTAGAGGAGCAAATTAAAAAAAAAAAAAAGAAAAAAAACCACCTTGACCAAATTAATTTCATTCCTGAAATGCAAGGAGGGCTCAGTATGAAGGAGTAAATGTTATGATGTGCCACATAAAATCTATTTCAAGGTAAAAATTTTCCTAGTAGACCTTTACAAAAGTGTTTGACTTAAAAATCCATTCAAGAGGGCCGGGAATATAGCTCAGCAGTACAAGTGCCTGCCTGGCAAGCGCAAGGTCCTGAGTTCGATTCCTGGTATCAAAAAAAAAAAAAAAAATCCATTCATGAGGGCCGGGCATGGTGGTGCATGCCTGTAATCCCAGCACTTGGGAGGCTGAAGCAGAGGATCACTGAGAGTTCAAGGCCAGCCTGGGCTACAAGGTGAGTGCAAGGCCAGCCTGAAATGTAGTGAGACCCTGTCTCAAAAAGGCAAAAAAAAAAATCCATTCATGCTTTTAAAATTCTTAGAAATGAGGAATTGAAGAAAATTTCCTTCAGACACAGCACTTTACTTTTAATGAATCATGACCACATCAAAGAAACAAAGCCCCAAGCTCACGCCAGTCCCTGGGAACATGGGAAGTTGTCCACATGTGTGGACAAAGAAACAGCAGGGGCCACTTCTCTGCATCCTAGCTTGTTTCTATTCATGCAAATGGCCACAAACACATTTTCTCAGTTCCAGCATATGTCTGGTTCCATAGTTGGGGGACAGAGTAGAATGGCTTTCTGTCAGGATCCCACTAGCAAAAGTAATACTCATTAATCATCTGAGAAATGGGTTGAATTCAAAACTTGATGAGAAATCCAGAAAACATGCATATGGTGTAATCAGGGTGCTCAGTGCCCCACCACACCACCTTAAATTCTCACCAGTGAGTCACAGAAGGTGTCTTGACAGTTTTCATTATCCATCACCACCCCAAGTTTGCTTCTGACAATAGCTTCCTCTCCTGGTGAGCGGTGCTGAGGGTTATCCAAAGCAATCAGCATACAGAAAATCATGTTTTCTAGAACACAGCTTACTAAGCCCAGTTCCTTGGTAGACTTCAGGGATTTGCAGACTTTGGAATTTTATGAAAAATTTTAAAAGAGAGAGAGAGACCACCAATGTGCATGTGTGTGTTTGCAGGTACACATATGCTTATTGATCTATCACTTCCACCAGCTTTTCAAAGGGGCCTGGTATCTAGAGAGAGTTGGAGACTCTTCTAGAAGATCTGTAAGTACAGATGTAATCTAACAAATGCAAAAACAAACCATGAGGAGGTTGGCCACCTCAGCCAGCCTGGGTGAAAGTGGTTGTGTGAAGATTTGCCTGACAAGAACCCACAACACCAACCCAGGCAGGAACAAACACTCAGACTGAACACCAAGCAGTATGTCTGTGCAGACTACATCACCCTAGAAGCACAGCTCTGGATGGAGAGAAAGGATGTGACAGCGAGACACATGACTTCTTGGATGACACAGGAAATCAAGAGTTGGGTTTCTGAGCCCTACAAGAATAGTGGCTTCCAAGAGGGACAGAATGAAGGTGCAGTCAGTGGGTGGGGGGTTGTCAGAGGATGGGCTCCCTTAGCTATTTTTTAAAAATCACATGCAACCTTATTTTATTTTATTTTATTTTCTGCCATGCTGGGAGTGAAGCCCAGAGCCTCATCCATATGCTAGGCAAGTGCTCTTCCTGATCCCCTCTTTTCTTCTCTTTCTCCCAGTTCGCAGTGCCACATTCCCAGTCTCCTCCCTTGGCCTCTAACAGGAGACACAAAGGCAGAGGAGTCTGGGTGGAGCATGCTCTCTGGTGATGATTAGCAAAAAGGAAAAGGGAACCGCCCCCGTGAGGAAGTTGTCACCTTCATGTCCACAATATGAGGTGAAGGAGGAATGTTGGAATGAGGCACCAGCCCCCACCAGGCATAGAATTGGGTGACTGCCAGCAGCTGTGTGATTTAAGTCTCTTAGGAGAGGAACCCCATGTACTGACCCCCCAGAACTGCCGAAAAGAACACATGAGATCACACACCCAAAGAGCCTCAAGCAAGTGTCTTCTCAGTATGAGGTATTATTAGTATCATCACCATTATTTTCTTTCATTTCATATCTCTTAAGTATCAACTCCAATATAATTTCTTCAGGAAGGTTCTCCTTAAACCCCACTGCATCGGGCTTGCTTTACATCATCTCACAGTATCACGCTATTTTTCTCAAGATTGTAATTCAGCGATTTATGTGGCTTGACCACTAGACAGTCATTCCCATGAGAGCAGGAACGAAGTCCGTCTTGCTCAGTGTCCTTGGAGATGACAGTCCAAGCCCGCAAGCGGAGGAAGTGCCGTACAAAAGTGCTGAGCACAGAAGCCGAACATGAGGGGCCAGGCAGGAGCTGTGGAGGACCTGAGTGCACTTCCATGGCACAGACAGGAAAAGCCATACTACAGAGGCACAGGAACATTGCTAGGTGTCAAGATGTAGGGCCAAAGCAGAGCCCCCTGACTTCACTCAAAGCAGAAGCTGGAAGCCACACTGAGCCCTCATGCCCTAGCCCTGCCCCCTCAAGGAAACCAACAAGCTCATTTGCCTAGGTCAACAACAGCAGCAAGAAGGCTCTGGAAACGAAAAGCACACACACCACTCCCCAGTGACCCCACCCGCACCCCTTCTGTATCCAGGCAGCTTCCACTGTGTGTGTGCACGGACGGGCTCCTCGCCCGTGAGCTCCTGGGGAGATTCACACTAGCAAGAGGCTCCAGTGAGCAGCCAATAGCTGTGCCAAGGCACCAGTCAGTTCCCTCAGCCCAGGGCGGTCAGTGCCACGTAGATCATAGATCATAGAAAGAGGGATGCTTAGTGCTACGGGGAAAGAAGGGCCACTGGGGAAGACTTCAGAAGTTTGAGCTCAATGTCAAAGGAGGTGTCTGCAGTTCACCAGGCAGGTAGTGAAAAAGAAGGGAAATCTAGAGAGAAGGAATAGCACATGCAAATGCAGAGAAGTCTGTTTGAGAGGTGGACCTGGACTGGGTGGCAGGAGGCCTTGATGGCCATGATAATGGGTATTTTTCTTCATCAATTGGTAAGGGGAACTCTGCAGGGTTTTCGGCTCAAAAGCAACTAATTCAGATTTGCTATCTTACATCACCATGATAGCAGGAGTAAGACCACAGGCTAGAGGTTCACGGAGGCCAAACTCTAAAGCCCAGAGTCTGGCACCAACTATAAATTTAGTAGACTCATGAAGGACCTTTTATCTGCTCTGTGCCACAAAAATCATCTACTTTTCCCCATTATCAGCCCCTGCCTCTCCTCTTGTACCTTGCCACAGCTATGTCTTGATTATCTAGAAGTCACTCAATGGGTAAACTCAATTATCCAGAACCTAGCAGCCAGTCTAGGAGAAAACAAAGAGATAAGAGAAAGCACCCATGCACAACCACAGTGCATGCCCCAGAAGGGCAGGGCATGCACTTGATGCCCACTTATCAGCTGCCACTCCCAATTGCTCACCTCTGGTCAAGAGCAGAAGCCAGAGTGAACCCAGCTCTGGTACCTTCTGGTTGAATGGCGTTGACCCTCAGTTTCTTGGTCTGTAAAATGCAGCAGTAGCTGTAGCCATCTCAGAGTGCGGCTGTAAAGACAAAAGGACATGAAGTACTTAGCATAGTTCCAGACAACAGAGCCGAAGGAAGAAAGAGCACAAGGAAGATCAAAGAGAAAGAGCAGAAAATGTGTCCTGAGCAGACCCAGTGTACAAAAGAGAATGACAGATTAGAACCATTTGAGACAAATTTCAAGAAACTATTAAATCAGAGCCAGGAACAGAGGCACACACCTGTAATCCTAGCACTCTGGGAAGCTGAGGCAGGAAGATCATGAGTTCAAGACCAGCCTAGGCAACTTAGCTATTTGCTATCTCAAAATAAAAAATAAGAGCCAGGGATATAGCTCAGTGGCACCAGTGCTTGTCTGGCAAGCGCAAGGTCCTGATTTTGATTCCCAGTACCAAAAAAAAATAAATAAATAAAAATTTAAAATAAATAAATAAATAAAGGTCTGAAGATAGGGCTTAGTGTGAAGGCCCTGGGTTCAATCCCCAGTACTGCCAAGACAAACCAACAAAAATAACAAGAAAACCTACTACATCAGATCCAACGTGCTATATACCTCTTACAAAGGTTTCCTTTAAAATGGGATACACTGAAATTTTTGGTGCTTAGAAGGATGAGCTACTGGAAAAAATGTGGGCAAAATACAAGAAAAACATAATTTTGTGTGTGCCTGTGTACCTATTCAACATAATCTAAGATGCCATTGATTGTAAGATGTACCATTATTTTGTGTGTCACTAAAGAACTATTGCTGACAATTATAACTGTAAGATGTCACAGCTGGTAAGATCCACCTCGATTTCAGCATCACTAAAATGGGAAAACGTGCAATCCTCAAACTGATGAAACATATTCATATGCAATCCATATTTCCGGTAGAAGTATGTCATCTTCCCTTTGGGCAGAAGCCAGGTGGAGTCTTTCCTCTGTCCCTCCCAGCTGTGCCCAAAGCTGAAACATCAGTTAGCTCCCTCTCGCCTTTTATTCTTGTTTGTTTGTTTGTTTTTCTTACAGTACCGGGAATCAAACTCACGACCTTGCGCTTGCCAGGCAGGTGCTGTACCGCTGAGCTAAATCCCCAGCCCCATCCCTCTTCTGTTCTTGAAAGAAACTAAAAGCAGTGCATAGGAGAGGAAAGTTCAAGACCAAGTTCATGAGGCAAAGGTGGGAGGCAAAGGTGGTCTGCTTCCAGTGAAGCTTAGGGAAGGGAGATCATGAATCATCCATTACCTAAGCTGCAGAGCTGGGAGCCCACAGAGTCCAAAGCACAGACCCACAGCACCTCCCTCCCCATTTCTGCCCCCACAGTCCTGGCTAGTTCTGCTTCAAAAGACCGGGGAGGTTATCCTGAAACAGAAAGAGCCTGACCATCTAACGTGGCCTTCTCCTAGACACACACTGCTGCGTCCACCGGAAAGCAGCAAGGAAACACTCGATGCCCACCCTTGTTCTACAAACCTCCTTGGAGCTGCTTCCAGGTACAACTATGCTCAGCACATCTGTCTCCTTTAATTTTCCACACGGCCCTGTAGGTCAGTATTAGGGCCCATTTTATAGACAAGGAGGCTGAAGCCAGCACGGGGTAGTAAGATGCTGAAGGCCACACACCTGGGTCAGGTTGGAATTCAGGTCTCTTCTTATCACATAGTTCTCCGGCTCCAGTACCATAACTTCAGGGGCTTATTCAATTTTTTGAAAAATATAGATTCTAGACCTCACCCTGGAGAGCTGTGCTGCAGGGCTGGGCCTGGGGCATCCTGCGTTTTAGCAGATACCCGGGGTGATCACCTGAGCTCTGGGAACCGGGGACTTAACAGATGGCCCTGCGTGCAGGAAGAGGGGAAGCACGAATGGGAAGACAGGGAAGTCCTTCGCACCAGACGTGGCCTACTTTTAGCCCTCGCTTTGCCTGAACCCACCCCTCTTCTCTGCCGGAGCCTTAACTCACTTTACACCACATCCTGCTGCTTTCATCTTGCCTTCTTTTTCCCTCCGAACTATCTCCTTCGTCCTGCTGTCCCGCGCTGCGCGTGTATTTACCCCTGCCTGGAACGGGCCAGGGCGCCGCGCACGCGCACACACGCGGGCACGCACGCAGTCACGCGGGGACACTCCGAGTGTAAACACGGATCCTCTGACAGCGCAGAGCGTGCGCTTCTTAGAACCTCGCTGTCTGGGGGGATCCACGCTCACTCGCAAGGGCCGCCTGACACTGGACAGGGGGGCGCCTGGGCGGCAACTCCACAACGCCCAGGTCCTGATGGCAAAGGGGCCTTGACGCCAGCGGCCACCCCGAGTTCTCAGGCGGAGAAGGCAAGCTCCTTGACCTCAGGACCCCGAGCGCCTGTGACGGAGGCCGGAGAGGCGCCCAGCCTAGCTACCTAGCTTATAATGAACGGTCCCCGGATGCCCCTTCCGTCTCCAGGACTATCCGCAACGTGGCCCTCAGCCCCGGGGCCCGCGCGGTGGACCTCACCGCGGACAGGAGCGCAGCCGTGGCTCTCGGCACACGCCTCTCCGCGGCGGTCAGCAACCCGCTCTGGCTCCGCCTTGCGCTCCCACGCGTGCTCTCCTTCGGCGCCCACCCCGCCGCGCAGCCACACACCTGCAGTTCCCGCCGGGCGCCGCGGCCCTCTCCAGCCGAGACTCCTCGCAACTCGGGCGATGACAGGGACCACCGCGCCGCGGCTGGAGCCCGTAGCAAGTCCCAGCATCTGCCGAATTTCTGCAAGGCGGGCGCCCTGGGGGCGGGGCCGGGGCGGGGCCGGGGCGGGGCCAACAGCTCGCCGGCCTCCTGCGCCACCTGCTGGCCGGGCCGTGTCAGCCAGGTGCCAGCCTGGTCCCCGCCTTCTCTGTGTCACGGTCCGGAACCTGCGGGGCATCTGAGGAGCAAGCCCCGCCCGGAGCCCGCCTGCCCGGGAGGGACAGGCCCTGCCCGCGCTTGTTGGTAGCCGAGGGACGCCGGCGCAGAGCAGATCTACCCTCTAGAAGTAAGGGGAGGTTCGGCCAGGGGTGCGGAAGCGCAATTTGGGCCGCGCAGGAGGGGTGGGCGGAGTGGGGGGAGGATGGGGAGTGGGGGCTTCGGGGAAGAAGGAGAAAGAGGAAGCTGCGACGAGCTGCTTCCTTCTCTCACTGCTACCCAGCACCCCACTTCCTCCTCCTACTTCTATTTTCTTTGGGTGCTCTTAACCCTTATAATGCCTGCCCCCCCGCTGGGAGAACGGGCAAGTTGACCCCGCCCTACAGGAACCTCCCTGGAAATTTCCAGCCAATCCAAACTTAAAGCACTACCCCTCCAGCCTCTGTGCTGATGTCCCGGCTCAGACCCACAGCGCCAGGCCGGCTGTCACTTCATCTGGGACCCGCTCTCCTGGGGGATAGGGAGTGGGGCAGCTACTGCCTCCGAGGTCAGCAGCCTCTTCTTGTCGCCCTCTTTCCGTCCACGGACAACACGGCAGGCACTGTTACACCGAAGTTGCAATGACTCCGTCAGGGAATCCCAGAAGACACGGCGCTTCCCAGCGCCTCAGTTTCCTCATTTACAAAGTGAGGATAAAAAGGCTCTGCTAATGCTGAGGCAGACCTTGAAATGAACAAGCAACCCTAGGGTTGAGAAAGCGCCAGGCTGAAATCTCCATTTCCACTATTGAATGGGGCTCTGTCACAATATCTGTTACAGGCATCCAAAACCCGCCACAAGGTCATACGTTGTTGGTGAAAAACCGCAGACCTACCTGAGGCTTTGAGAGATGCCAACACCAGTGACTTTTCTTTCCCTGAGTCCTTAAATACCAAGAAAGAGCAACTTCCTCAAATGGACAGAAACAGAAAGTGCCCTTGGGTGAGCACAGAGGGCTGGTTCCTGCCTGTAGTTAGAGATGGAAGGGGCTCAGTGCCCATCACCTCCCACTCCTTCACCCACCAGCCCCACCCCTCATACCGTGCTACAGGTGAGGAACTGTCAGCCGTCGGAGGCGACTGGAAGGGCACTCGGAACACCGCACAACTTGAGGAGTGGACAAGGCCTCTGGTTTCTCTCTTCCCAGGTTCTACTTTACCCACTGCAAAAAAAAAGTGGTGGCCTTTGTTGAAAGAGATGGTAAGCAGCCTGGAGGTGGCCAGCGCAGAAAGGAAAGTGTAGAACTGCTCTAAAATCGGCAGTTGAGTAGTGCGAGGGACACAGCATCTTGGCCGCTTGAGATGTTAGATCAGGAGAGTATTTTGAAGGATAAAGAAATGGCTGGAGAAATTACAGGAAGCCATTCCTTCTTCCTTATGGTTGCTGTTCTAAAAAGTGAAGATGGAAGAGAGCGGAAAGAGAATTAGCTGCTCACTGTGGGGAGCTGAGCATCTGGCAAAGCCAACTCTGTCCCGTCCTTCGTCCGCCAGACATGGACGCTCTTTTCCACCAGCAGCTGGCACCCAGATGTTGAGCTTGTATGTTATTCTTCATCCAACACTGAGCTCTGCCTGTGTCTCCCTGTCCCCACAGCGCTGACCACCAGCCAACTCTCAAGAGCACCAGCATCCATCTACTGGGTGGAACGTAGGATGACAGCTGTGCAGAAACTGCACAAAGTCCTTCCCAAAGCACCTTCCTTCCCAAAGTCCTTCCTTCCTAAAGGGTGTCTCTGTCACTCACAAGGCACCTAGTTGCAACCACTTTATGTTTTTGGTTTTTTCCCAGTACTGGAGATTGATCCCTGGGCCTTCACACTGAACTACACCCTAGCCCTTTTTCCATTTATTATTTTGAGACAGATCTCTCTAAATTGTTAAGCAGGCTGAACTTGAACTTTCTGCCTCAGCCTCCCAGAATGCTGGGATTACAAACGAGTACACCATGCCTTGGTCTTCTGTTGCTTCATTTAAAATATGTCTATGTGCAATGGCTCTCCTTCTTTTCATGGCCTAATGTTTTCAAAGAGGAGCCTGCTTTGCCTGTACTTCCTCATCTTACATTTATTCCTCAATGCTCTGAAAGAAGGTCACCAAGAAAACCCCAAATGACAAATCCAGTGTTCTTGTTTTTTTACCTCGCTAGGGTGCTTGATGTTATCTTTCCTTCAAAATTCCCCCTTTGGCTTCTGAATTTCCTTCACCTCTAACCACCATTTCTGTTTACTTTTTCTGGTCTTACTCCCTTCATTGTCTCTGATGTAGGTTTTATGTGAAGCTGCTTCTCTTTTTCCCAGGCAATTTCATCCATTCCGTTCACACTGATCCCTCTCAAACCTATAGCCCAGACTTCCCGCTGGAGCTCCAAATCGAAGCCCAAAGACATCTTACTTCTCAGTAGCCCCGCCTCTTAAAGGTCCTACTGCCTGCTCATATTCTCACACAGGAGAACAAGTTTACAACACTGGAACCCTCAAGGGACAGAACCCCCCCAAAGGATAACAGATGTTTACTTAAAAGTCACATATTCTGCACTTTGTACGTTATATCTAATACATAAAATGTGGGAAAAGGAAGTCCACATTGTACTTGCTTACCCCCTGCCCTTCCTCACTGCAATGGTCCTGCTTAGGTGGCCTCTCCCCACATATTTACTGGACTGGTTTCTTACTGGTTATTCGTGATGGTCAGCAGAATCACCTCGATGGCTATTCTTGGGTCAATTCAGATTCCTTCTGGTAAAGATGGGCAAACAGAAAAACTAAAGCTACAAAAGCAGAAAGATTCGGACTTTCAAAAAGGATACACAGTCAAAGAAAATGAGTATCTTTTAAACTAAATTTTCACCAAAAGGGAAAAATTAAACCTTTTGTTCATTTGTGTTTTCAATGATATTTCTCATATAGGTATAGAAGGCTGAATTATTAAGAAAGTACAAGCTGAGCTTAGGAAGCATTTTTTGTTTGCTAAATTTAAAGCACATAGGAGTTAATTAACAGAGAAAGCTGAATGTATGAATTAGAACAGAAACCTGATAATTTATCCTAGAATTCCGAGAAAAGATGAAAACTACTAGAGCAAAGATGAGTTGTGAAGGCTACAGTACAGAGATCTAATACACCTATAATAAGAATTCCACAATGAGGGGAAAAATATGTGGTAGAAGAAACTTGCTCTGAACTGAAGAAAGACTTGCATCTTCTACCTAAAATCTTAACTTTCCTAGTATGATACAAATGATCAAAAAGTTGACCTAAGAAAAGATGTATCTGAAGTTTTAGAAATTATCAAAGACCTTCTCTCTTGGAAGGATCCATGTCCTAACATCTATCAAAATTTAAAGGACTGAATTATACTATGCTTTTAAAAAATACTACAATAAAGCATAAAGCGTGCTACCTTTCACATAAAGAGAAATGGGATATAAGAAAATGTGCATGCATCTGCTCATTTGTACAAACTGAAAGGCAGGAAAGATAGCCCAGAAATTAATGAAATTATTTACTTACATTGGGTAGGTGGGAATAGCATGGAATGAAAGAGGGAATAGGAATTGAGAAACACAAGATGGGAGAATTTATAGTTTTTCAAAGGTTCTTTTTGGTTTTGTTCTGACTTTTAGAATTAAGAAAATGTTTCACATATTTCCATCTCCCCCTAAAAATAAATAACCAATTAAAATGGTGGGGGCCTAAAGTGGAATGTAACCTACTATTGGAAATGAATGATATAACCACACTGAGGGAAATGGAGACAAAAAGAACTAACTCACGTAATTCAGAGAAACATCTTTTGACTACATACTGCAGAGCAAAACACAAAAGACAATAGCACATTGTGCTGGTGTTGCTGTTTAGGGGGTCTCCTGTCTAAGTAGTAAATCTGTTTTTCATGGGTGAATGCATTAGTTATTCTTTTCAATATTTACCAAGATGGGACAAATAAGTAAAATATATTATAAATAATGAGATCCAGGTTTCTTGGTGTTGGTGAAAGAAGTTACAGAATGTCAGACATGGTGGCACACGCCTGTAATCCCAGCACTCAGGAGGCTGAGGCAGGAGGATTGAATGAGTTCAAGGCCAGCCTGGGCTACATAGTGAGTTCAAGGCCAATTTGGGCTACATAATGAGACCCTGTCTCAAAAAACCAAAAAAAAAAGAAAAAGAAAGAAAAAAGTTACAAACAAGGGAAGACAGAAAGCTAGAATGAACCATAGTGTTACACTAGAGTCAGAGATATCAGCATGTATTCATGGTTTTTAAGAGAGAGAGACAACCAGGCACAGTAGTGCATGCCTGTAATCCCAGCACTCTGTCCGGCTTTGCCAGAGGATCACAAGTTCAATTTCAAGCCCAGACTAGCAAGACCCTGTGTCAAAATAAAAATTAGAAAGGGCTAGGGATGTAACTCAGTGTGAAAGTCCTGGGTTCATTCATGAGTCACACACACACACACACACACACACACACACACACACACACACAGATAGATGCATAGATATTAAAACACCTAGAAACAGTTGTGCATTTTTTTCATAGCTCTGTCTGCTAAGAGAGACTAGAAGTAATGACGTTCCACCAACAATGGGCACACCTAGCTCCAAGATCTTAGTTTCTAAATGTCATTCACCAACAAAAGGAGAAATGGTTAATGGAAGATCCAGGACAAGAAAAGAACAAGATTAATCTAGAGCACCTTGTGGTAGCAGAAAGCAACAAAAGCTCAAAAAATGAGGCTTGTCAGCACACAGGAACCAACTTGAAGGGGCTCGCAGTGATGAGATACAGGACATACTGAGTAACACACTAG